TTGGATTCACAAACTTGGTCATGATAAGCACAAGGAATGCTCAGGACGCATTCCATGGACTGTTAATGTTCATACAAGATCATGTACATATAAATGTCTTTCTGTTGCATATTCATCTAACCACCTGTATATTAATTTGTTTACCTGTCTATATCTAAAAGTATGTTATTTTATACCTGTACCTGTACATGCTTTTGATCTACTATTATAAAGAGTGAACCTTAGGGGGAACTTACATTGGTAGAAATATATGTTTTGATATTTTCTAAAAGATTTTTTAAACAATACATGTTAAGATCCTACCAGTTTTTATTTCTGCTAAAGTTATCAGTTGAGGACTTATCATGCTAATTGCTTTGAATGACTATTTTGACATATGTTTTAAAATTTATTCCTATTATCTTGAAAACTAGAAATTCATACAGTGAATAGTGAAGCCATCATCAATTTTCTTTTTTTGTTGTGGTGGTTGAATGGGTCCTTATTAACTTCTTAATATATACTTATGCACCATGTCTGTCAATCATTTTAATTTCTGGGTGCTAATTTAAATACTTTTTATCTAATTGCAACCTTGCATCAAAATAGGATCTGATTGAATGAGAGTAAGATCCCTATCGATATTGACATAACATCTCATATAGTAGATACTTAAAATAAACTGAAATTTGCAGAAAATTGGAAATCTGGCCACATATTATGAAAGGAAGATCCCTATTTGAGGTCAATATCTCAAAGGCGAAGGTCAAAGTTACTAAATGTAGATAGAAATTATTGGAGAAAAATTGTTTCCACCCAAAGTCAAATAATACTGTACAGGATTGTAACCTAACTTGAACGTGGGCACATATAATTAGAGAAAAATCCCCATTGATTTTGTGGTAACCATGTCTTAAGGTCAAGGTCTGAGTTTCTAAAAAATACCACAATTTGTTCAAAATTATGGTTTCTTGATGCAAAATCAAATATGGGAATACCATGGGCTATTTGGTGGGTTGTTGTCTCTTTGACACATTCCCAGTTTCCATTCTCTATTCTACATACAGTATTGCAACCTTACTTAGAAGTATGGTCACATAATGATATGATTTAAGGAATATCCCTTTTGGTTTTGAGTTTACTACGTTTAAGGTCAAGGTTAAAGTTACAAAAAAAAAGACTAAAATTTGTTCAGAAATAAAATGTTACAAGATGCTTAAAAATTAAAAGAGGCAGTATCTACAAAATATATGTTTTGATGTGAAAATTATAAAACCTCATTCATACATGCAGTAATTTTATAGATAGTTATATATATTAATAAATTTTAAAAAAACTGTCCACCCCATGTACAAATCACAGCTGTCTGAATTGTAGTATCAAGCTTCCACCTATTTGTTTTGTTAATACTTTTAACGGGAAGTTTTGTTAACAGAATAATTATAACGTGGGGGGTGTCAATATTGAGCAATACTCATAGGTCATATTGTACATTTTATACGCCCGTTTATGGGACTTAGTATGGTATACCATTGTCCATCTGTCTGTCCTCCTGTCCGTCCATCTTCAACATGTCGAAAAACTTTCCATTTTTCACACTTTGGACGGTTAGAAAATCTTATTTGTTCCAAAATTAAGGCCACAAAATTAGTCAAACTTGAGGTAACCCTATTATAGTGCCAAATTGTTCGTGTTTTGTGACAATGGGTACCACTGTGTGTGCATGTCTGTTTTTTTTGGGGGGGGGGGGGGGGTGATTCTATTTGAGCAGTACTCACAGTATTTCTAGTTGATCATATACATTCCTTGAATGCATTTAAACGAGCTAAAAGACGACAGGCATATCATGCGCTCATGGCGCAGCTCTTTATTTTTAGTTAATTTTAGCAGTTTGTTTGTTAATTTTAACCTCTTGGGTTGGGTAGGGACATCAATCTGCTGCCATATGTAGGGAGAGTACCAAGCTCTTTGTATTATAGAGATACCTTGCAACAAATTTTTGAGGGATCTGTTGGTAACCAGTTGCAAGGCAAAAATTGTGCCCCTATCCAACATTCCAGCACTCTTAATGTCTATCTCTTCTCTCTGTTGGACCCATTTTGCAGGACCTACCTATTGAATTAACTGTAAATTTGTTCCTGGTTCAGAATATGCAAGAAATTTATGCCATTGATGATCTGCCAAATTCATCTAAAATAAAATCTTACCATATATGTAAAGTCAAGTGTGACAAATTGCATTAAAATATCTTGTGTTCAGATTGTAAACTATCAATGTATCAGTGATTTTTGTTACAGCAAATGAGCAGATACCAAATCATGGATCAAATTCAAATTAACCTGTTCTGGAATGTTCATTGTGAGCAAAGGAAAGATAGGTGTCATTTTTCAGATCCCATGCTTTACTGCACTATGAGTATTATATTCTTACTTCATTCATCAATATATAATGAAAATTTGCTCTTATGCCATTATTTGCCACAAGACCTCAAAACAGAAAGCTGCATGATTTCTAAAATATGTATTTATATACTATCATATATACAAGTTTATAATTGCTTGTGTAGAGGCAGACTTTAGATTTGGAAAAGGATCTAAAATCTTGTACTAGTTCAAAAAGGGGAACATTTGCATACATGTGTATTACTTCAGTATACTGCAAATGCCTTTTCCATAACCTTTTTTACATGTGGGTGATTGTGGATGGCACCCTGTGGGACTGGGTTTTAAATCAGTTTAATGTACTCCAGGGGTTTCAATATTTTTTTAGACTGGAGGTACCTTTGAGATTATAGGGGGAACCAAACCTAAATAGCGAGGGGTCTGGGGGCCGCTTAAGCCCCCCAGTGGGTCCAGGGCTAGCCCTGGTAGGGGGACCGGGGGGCGAAGCCCCCGGAAGCTCATGGATTTTAGGGATTTCAGCCTTAATTTTTTACTTAAAAAAAATAGGGTAAAGTCTGTAATATTTGCTTCAATTTTGGGTAAATTAACATTGAATTGGTTTTTTTTCTAGACATGCTAGAGTAATCATCTGAAAATACATTGCTTATAATTATTTTGTAATCAGTTATAAAATATGTATGACCATGGAAGTATTATATTATTGTCAATATAATACTTCCATGGTATGACCTATAATGCAGGGGTTTCATGTGAAATGTTGTTTAAACGTTTTGTTTGTTTTTATACTTTTTATTAAATGTTTTGCATTTGTTCAATTTTGTGAATGAAATTTCATAAGTTACATAGTATATTATTAAAAAAAATTGATGACAAAACTTGTTGTAACTTTTTTTATTGCTTTGTTATAATCATAACTGTGTCAATTGTTTGTGTAAGTAATTTAACAGTGTCATGCTCATGCAAACAATTAAACAACATGAACAATAAACATGCTCTCATGCAAAACAGCAAACAAACGTTTTTGATATATGCTAAGTGTTGTGATGGTTGTTCTTGTCAGAAAAAAAAACATGTATTCAACTTTCACTTAACTTTAATATTTATAAAAAGGGGTGATTGTGAAAAAGGGGGGGGGGGGGGGCAAATTTATCATAGGATTCTTGACTATAGTAAGTAAAAAAAATTTTTTTTTCACTTCTTCAGAGCTGTCTTTTTTTTTAATTTTAGAAGTCTTAAATCTCGTCAGATATTATATTTTGTAAACGTAACAGTTATGTTAGTTCAGATTGTTTCACGAAGTCTTACACTAAAAAATTCAATCACAACATAGAACACATATCGAGAAGACGGAGATCAGTGACAACGTCCAACGGGAAACGAACTGATTTGATACAATTAACGATTTTCTGAATTTCATAGAATGTTTACCTTTATTAAACCTTTTATTCATAAAATAATCTGTGATACAAGCTGCTTTCCTTTTATAAGACATAATATTGCTGTTGTTGTTTAAATTCATCAACAATTTGCTGCTTGAAAATATACTGCTAAATCGTCGCATTTTAAAGCGCTCTTACGATACAGATACAGACACATGGTTTATAATTATCACTTCTCCTACTTTGGAGGTGTGCCTAAATTGGCAGAAGATAGATCTATACTTTAACGTGGACCTCGACGAAGACACCTTTAAACATACACATGAACGGCGTAGAACGGTGATTATCAAGGAATGAAAGAAATAAGATTTGAACGATCTTCAAAAGAATTTTACACATTTTTTTTTTGTATTTTTATTTTTTCTGCCGGTACCAGACGCTTCCGAAGGCGGGTAAAAGTACCGGGTACCGGGTCTTAATGAATGCACTGGTACTCATATCTCCACTAGTCACATTGTAGATTTACTTACATGTAACATTAGCAAGAGTGATTGTAATAAAATCAGTTATATGTACCCTAATTACCACTAGTCACACTGTAGATTTATTTACATGTAACATTAGCAAGAGTGATTGTAATAAAATCAGTTATATGTACCCTAATTACCACTAGTCACACTGTAGATTTACTTACATGTAACATTAGCAAGAGTGGTTGTAATTAAATCAGTTATATGTACCCTAATTACCACTAGTCACACTGTAGATTTACTTACATGTAACATTAGCAAGAGTGGTTGTAATTAAATCAGTTTAATGTACCCTAATTACCACTAGTCACACTGTAGATTTACTTGCATGTAACATTAGCAAGAGTGGTTGTAATTAAATCAGTTTAATGTACCCTAATCACCACTAGTCACATTGTAGATTTACTTACATGTAACATTAGCAAGAGTGATTGTAACTGGATCACCTGGCCTTGCTGTCATGAAACTTTGGAGCACGATTATTGTACTCAGACTCAGAAATCAACCAATCAAACTACTGGATTTGGTGTTTCGAGCACAAATTTTGTACTGAGTAAAGTTTTATGACTGAGGACCCTGGTATGTTTTACAACATTGTATGATAAATCCCAGAGTTGTATACCCAGAGTTGTCTAGTTGAATAATTAGAACAAAATTAAACCCTTGCTTTAGCAAAAATAATGGCATAAATATTTTTTTTCTTTTTACAGCTGTAAATGGAAACTGTGACAGAAATGCAATATCAGCATGTCTTGCTGGTTTGGGTCAAGGTAGTGAAAATCCTCAGGCACAATGTGCGTAAGTATCTATCATCAATAATAAACTCACAGATTTGTATTGTCAGTTTTTGAGAACAAAATGTAACTCAGAAATTTATGATAAATGATAATAAAGTGCATATGTAAAGGGGATTGGTTAAGAACTTTGTAAACATGGAAACTTTGTTCTTTGGTCTTTAATAATGGATAGTGTCTCATTGGCTATTACGCCACATCTCCTTATTAGCTCACCTGGCCTAAAGGGCCTAGTGAGGTTTTCTCATCACTTGTCGTCCGTCATCGTCTGTTAACTTTTACAAAAATCTTCTCCTCTGAAAGGACTGGGCCAAATTAAACCAATCTTGGCCACAATCATCATTGGGGTATATAATTTACAAAATGTGTTTAATGAGCCTGCCTACCAACCAAGATGGCCGACTTGGCTAAAAATAGAACATAGAGGTAAAATGAAAGTTTTGTCTATTATTTTGAAAATCCCTATAAATAGAGTCTGACGGGCAGAATTATAGGAATGATTGTTCTTTAAGAAATTTAGGTAAAAAACTGTCAGACAAATTTTTACAGGAGTTATTGCCCTTAAATGACAATAATTACTATTTTTAAAAATGTTTGCCTATTATCTTGAAAATTATAATAGATAGATAGAAACTTTAAAAAGCAAAAATAATCAACAAGACAAGATCTTCAAAAAAGTCAACATGACCTGAATAGTCAAGACAACTTCTTATAAGAGTTATTGCTCTTTAATGACTATTTTTACCATTTGTTTGCGTTATTGCCTACTATCTTAAAAACTATAATAGATAGAGAGAATCTTTTTAAGCAAAAATGATCAGCACAATATTTTTGGGGGGTGGGGCAATTCGCAACAGCATAGTGTATTGCACAAAAGCAAAAAATTGAATATTAATTCAAATCATATAACCAGTTCTAAGTTCTTTGACTACAGTTATTCTGTGTCAGAAACCTATTATGTGTCAAACATTTAATTTCAATCCAAATTCAGACCTGTTATCAAGCACGAATATTGTGTCCATTTTTGCCCCAACTGTTCAGGGTTGGACCTCTGCGGCCGTATCCAGCTGCGCTCGGCGCAGCAATTTATTTTCATATGTGCCTTATATCTTAAATACTATAAAAGATAGATAGAAACTTTAAAAAACAAAAATGATCAGTAAAACCAGATCTACAAATAAGTCAATATAACCGAAATTTTTAGTCCTTATTGAAGTTATTGCTCTTTAATGAAGATTTTCCCCATTTTTAGCTCACCAGGGCCCGAAGGGCCCCATGTGAGCTTATGCCATCACTTGGCGTCCGTCGTCGTGCGTCGTCTGTCGTCGTCGTCGTAGTCTGTCATCGTCTGTCATTGTAAACTATTTCAAAAATCTTCTCCTCTGAAACTACTGGGCCAAATACCTTCAAACTTTAACTAAATGTTCCTTAGGGTATCTAGTTTATAAATTATATCCGTAGTTTTGATCCATCGACAAACATGGCCGCCATGGCTAAAAATAGAACATAAGGGTCAAATGCAGTTTTTGGCTTATATCTCAAAAACTAAATCTTTTAGAGCAAATGTGACATGGAGTAAAATTGTTTAATTGGTCAAGATCTATCGGCCCTGTAATTATCAGACGAATCGAACAACCCATTGTTGGGATGCTGCCACTGAATTGGTAGTTTTAACAAAATTTTGCAGTTTTTTGTTATTATTTTAAATATTACTATAAATATATGTAAACTGTAAGCAGCAATAATGTTCAACAAAGTAAGATCTACCAAAAAGTTAATATGACCAAAATTGTCAATTGACCCCTTAAGGAGTTATTGCCCTTTAAAGACAATTTTACACAATTTGTTCATCAAGTTTGCTAACATTTAAAAATCTTCTCCTCTGAAACACAGGTGAGCGATTCAGGCTCTTGAGAGCCTCTTGTTTCCCATTTTTACCTATTATCTTGAAAAACGTAATAGATAGATAGAAACTTTAAAAAGGAAAAAATGATCAGCAAGACAAGATCTACAAATGTGCCATAATGGCTGAAATCTTCCGCGGACTAGTAATTTTAGTTATTGCCCTTAAATGATAATTTTTAATATTTATATACATTTTTTGCCTTTTATCTTGAAAACTATAATAGATAAATAGAAACTTTAAAAAGGAAAAATGATCAGCAGGATAAGAAGATCTACAAACATGTCAACAAAAAAAAACTGAATTATTGCGTCTCTGTGATATGCTGAATCTTATTGTGCATTTAGATTTTTTTATTTTGGGCCCTGTTTTCATATTAGTCCATATTAAGGTTTGAAGGGTCCAAAATTAAACTTTATTTGAATTCAACTAAAATTAAATTTTTTGTGTTTTTTTATATGCTGAATCTAACCATGTTGTTAGATTTTGGATATCAGACCATACTAGGTAAATTAAATGTCCCATTTCAAATTTTTAAGATCTTTGACCACATTTATTTTGTGTCAGAAATCTATATTATGTCAAAAATTTGATCACAATCCAAATTCAGACAGTATCAAGCTTGAATATTGTGTCCAAACTTGCCTCAACTGTTCAAGGTTCGACCTCTGCAGTCGTATCAGGCTGCGCTCGGTGAAGCATTTTATTACCTATTATCTTGAAAATTGTAATAGGTAGATAGAAACTTTAGATAGCACAAATGATCAGCAAGACAAGATCTACAAATGTGCCATAATGGCTGAAATCTTCAGTCGACTCGTTATTTGAGTTATTGTCCATTAATGATAATGTTTAGCATTGCCTATTATCTTGAAAACTATGATAGATAAATAGAAACTTTATAAAGGAAAAATTATCAGCAAGATAAGATCTACAAACATGTCAACATGACTGAAATTGGCAGTTAACTCATAAAAGAGTTATTCCCCTTTTATGACGATTTTTACTCAAAAGTGGCCATTGTTGAAGATGCAGGTGAGTTACACAGGCTCTTTAGAGCCTCTAGTTTTAGTTTTACCTATTATCTTAAATCTATAAAAGATAGATAGACACTTTAAATAGCAAAAATGGTCAGCAAGACAAGATATACATATAAATATTACGATTTTCCCCTTTTTTGTGCTTTGGACAAAATTAAAGACAATAGTGAGAAACTGTCTAAAAAAACAATGATTAGCAATACAATATCAACCAATGAGAGATTTTTGTAATGAATTCTATTCTATTCTTCAATGTTGGAGAGCGACTATTGTTGAAGATGCACAAAGACCTAGGTGAGTGACATGCCTGTTTAACCATGCTACAGAATAAGTTGTGCAACTGCTATATATAAAGCAGCTGCTTCTTGTGAAACTTTATAAACTTCTTATTTTCATCTAAAACTTTTATTCATAGAACATTCGAGAATGTCAAGAAATGTATTGCACCACATAAAGATGCTTGCGCTGGGGATCCAACACTGGCTGCCATAGCACCTTTAGAGCAGATGTGCAGTGGTGGTGGTGGTAACCCACCAAACATTCCAAATGGTAATTATTCATTCAGTGCTATTGTGATTATTATATTATATTTAAAAGATCCATAATTATTAGATTTTTATACGACCACAGTCGTATATTGGTATGACGTTGGCGTAGTCGTCTTCGTCGTCGTCTGAAGACACATTGGTTTTCGCACAATAACTTTAGTTTAAGTGAATGGATCAATACCACAAAAGGAAGGTTGGGGGCCAAAGATAAGCATTTTTCTAATTTCCAGACAATAACTTGTGGAACAGTGTATGGATCTCTCTGAAAAAATCCATATGAAAGATTTGACATCATATTTTAAATTCTATTATAAAATAGATTAAGTTAGCACTATGGTAAATTTAAATGGGTAATTATGGTTGCAAACTCCATTGGAAATTTGAATTGAGATTATGACCATATCTTGAGGGAAAGAATTTTTTGGGGGGAAAAAGGGGGGGGGGGGGGGTCAATTTTTTCTCATATCAGATTTCAGAAATTAAATGAAAAATTATTTTTTTTGCAAAAAAAAAGTGTGTTTGTGTATGTGTGTGTGTGTGTGGGGGGGGGGGGGGGGGGGGGGTGGTGTTAATATGCAACAGCATAGTGTATTGCACAAAAGCAAAAAAAAAAGGGGGGGGTAAATTTTTTATTTTTTTTTGTGGGGGAGGGGGGATCAATTCGCAACAGCAAAGTGTGTTCCACTAAAGCAAAAAATTGAATTTAAATTCAAATCATAAAACCAATTCTAAGTTCTTTGACTACAGTTATTCTGTGTCAGAAACCTTTTATGTGTCAAATATTTAATTACAATCCAAATTCAGACCTGTATCAAGCACGAATATTGCGTCCATTTTTGCCCCAACTGTTCAGGGTTGGACCTCTGCGGTCGTATCCAGCTGCGCTTGGCGAAGCAATTTATTTTTAAATAATTGATTTATCATCTGGTTTTTTTACGACCGCAAAAAATTTTTGCGGTCGTATATTGGTATGACGTTGGCGTCTTCGTCGTCGTACGGCGTCGTCGTTGTCCGGCATCGTCCGAAGACACATTGGTTTTCGCACTCTAACTTTAGTTTAATTGAATGGATCTCTATGAAATTGTACCATAAGGTTCAAGATCACAAAAGGAAGGTTGGGATTGATTTTGGGGGTTATGGTACCAACAGTTAAGGAATTAGGGGCCAAAAATAAGCATTTTTGTAACTTCCAGACATAACTTGTGTGTTAGTGTATGGATCTCTCTGACATTGTACCACAAGGTTCCATATCACACAGGGAATGCTGGGATTGATTTTGGGGGTAATTGCCTCAAAATATTAGGAATTAGGGGCCAAAAAAGGGGCAAAAAACAAGCATTTTTCTAGTTTCATGACAATAACTTGTGTATAAGTGTATGGATCTTTCTGAAATTGTACTACAAGGTTCCATATCACAAAGGGAAAGCTGGAATTGAGTTTGGGGGTAATTGCCCAAAACGTTTAGGAATAAGGGGCCAAAAAGGGGCCAAAAATAAGCATTTTTCTAGTTTCCGTACAATAACTTGTGTTCAAGTGTATGGATCTCTCTGAAATTGTACCACAAGGTTCCATATCACACAGGGAATGCTGGGATTGATTTTGGGGGTAATTTCCTCAAAATATTATGAATTAGGGGCCAAAAAAGGGGCAAAAAACAAGCATTTTTCTAGTTTCATGACAATAACTTGTGTTCAAGTGCATGGATCTCTCTGAAATTGTACTGCAAGGTACCATACCACAAAGGGACGGCTGGGATTGATTTTGGGGGTAATTGCTTCAAAATTTTAGGAATTAGGGGGCAAAAAACAAGCAATTTTCTAGTTTCAGGACAATAACTTGTGTGTAAGTGTATGGATCATTTTGAAATTGTACTACAAGGTTCCATATCACAAAGGGAAAGCTGGGTTTGAGTTTGGGGGTAATTGCCCTAAACGTTTAGGAATTCGGAGCCAAAGAGGGGCCAAAAAACAAGCATTTTTCTAGTTTTCAGACAATAACTTGTGTTCAAGTGTATGGATCTCTCTGAAATTGTACTGCAGGTACCATACCACAAAGGGAAGGCTGGGATTGAGTTTGGGGGTGATGAATCATAAGGGGGTTCAAAAAATTTGGGGGGGTGGGGGGGTTCTTTAAAATTTTCCATTTTAAATTGATTATTTCTGATTTATATATAAAAGCAAATAATAATGATATGGTTTGAATAGGTAAATTAAAAAATTTTAAGTTCTTAGACCACATTCATTCTGTGTCAGAAACCTGTGCTGTGTCAAATATTTAATCACAATCCAAATTCAGTGCTGTATCAAGCTTGAATGTTGTGTCCATACTTGGCCCAACTGTTCAGGGTTCGACCTCTGCGGTCGTATCAAGCTGCGCCCAGCGGAGCATTTTATTATATGCCTGTCAAAGACTGGATGTTTTATAGTATACCTGTAGGCTGTCCATCCATCAACACTTTGTATAACTCAAATTGGCTTTAATCAGTTCTCATATAAAGTTAACATATTAGAATTAACTACTCGCTTTAGATTTTTTATTTTTGCTACAATTTTCATACAGAAATTAATTACTGAAGTGTTCAAAGTGGTACATTGAATTTGACGTTGTCAAGGTGAGAGAAACAATGAAAAGTGAAAGTAGCAATAAAGAGTTATAAATAGATAAGATAAATATAGAAAAATAAAGTTTGTTTACAATGTAAATTGAGTTCTTTTACTTTTATATGATAAATGACATTGTTCTAGCCTTTAGAACAATGTCATTTATTTAGAACAATGTCATTTATCATATAAAAGTAAAAGGAACTCAATTTACATTGAAAACAAACTTTATTTTTCTATATTTATCTTATCTATTTATAACTCTTTATTGCTACTTTCACTTTTCATTGTTTCTCTCACCTTGACAACGTCAAATTCAATTTTAACTAAAAAATACATCAAAAATTGAATTATTGGGGTTATTTAATATGCTGATTCAAATCAGGTATTTAGATTTTTAATTTTGAGACCTGTTTTCAAATTGTTCCACATTAAGGTCCAAAGGGTCCAAAATTAAACCTTGTTTGATATCAACAAAAGTTTAATATATTGAGTTCTTTGATATGCTTGATCTAATGGTATATTTAGATTTTGGATTTTGGGTCCCATTATCAAATTGGTCCATCTTGAGGTCCAAAGGGTCCACAATCAATCTTTGTTTGATTTCATCAACATTTAAACATTGAATTCTTAGGGTTCTTTGATATGCTGAATTTAACCATGTGTTTAGATTTTGGATATTGGACCATGATAGGTTAAAAGTCCAATTTCAAATTTTCTAATACGAAAACATGGACTAAGCTTTTTCAGCTTATTTTATTTGGAGACAAGCTCTCACATGTACAATTCTTACTAGATTTTTAGGAAAAACTATACAAATTGAAAATAAAAGAAAATTGTTTACTTACCCTTCACTTTCACAGATTTCCACATCATTTTTCTATCCTCTGGTACCTCCATTGTCTCAAATGCAAATGATGAAATGAATCCTGCAGCACTATTAAAGACTATGTAATTTGATACCCAAATGCTGTCAAAAAGTTATATTTCATGAGATAAAGGGGAATTAGTACTATATTACATTTTTTTATAACATAGCAAGTTTCAATAATATTACAGTATTCGGTAATACCATAATGTTTGGACTGTTATATCAGAGGTTCATATCAGCAATGGCTCGCATAAACTTAAAAGACATTGTTGATTAACTATTTTTAAAGGAGTTATGCCCCTTTGATATATAAATCTAATTTATCTGCAAAATTGCACTGTTAGTGCTCTCAAGCCTGCATGTCTTCAGGATTGGTAAGAAATTTATATTGCAGGGTTTATATTAGCAATGTTTTGTAGGAGTTTGAAAATCAGTGCTGATCAATTATTTTTGTGTCCCTTGAAAATGTTTTATGGGAAATTGCATTGTAAGCCCTCTTAAGGCTTCATTTCTTGTCTGAATTTTGTTATATTTGAATTCAAAGGTTTATATCAGTTATTCTTGGATAAGTTCGAAAATTAGTGCTAATCAACTTCTTTTGATGCAATTATATCCCTTTAAAATGTAGTTTACTATGCAAATTCCATTTTAAGCACTCTGATCCCTATATTTGTTGTTGGATTTTTATGAAATGTATATTTTAGATTTATATCAGTAAAGCATTGGAAGTGTTCAATAATCAGAGTTGATCAAGTATTTTTATTATTTGTTATGCCGCTTGGAAATAGAAATTATATGGAAAGTAACATTGTTAGCCATCTCTTGCCTACATTTCTTCTACGATATTAATGAAAAAGTTTGAAAGATTGAAGGAATATTACTGCCCTTGAACATAAGTGTATTGGCAGGGGATATTAGAATACTGTTCTTTTACTATTCCTTTTTATTATATTAGTTTGTGCAGTTGATGTTTGTGCCATGAGCATGCAGCAATATCAGCCAAAGAGTTCAGGTGAACCTATTGAAGCAACACCAGAGCTTTGTGCGTAAGTAATTATAAACAGCTTGTTGCTCAATACAATACAAAGTGTATGTTTTTAAAAAATGTAAAGAATCGAGTATGAAAGAATTGTAAAATGTAAAATGTTTTGTAAAATGTAGCTTGAAGTAAGTCATATATAAAGAATCTAGTTTGTCGAGGTTCTGGATTAAAAAAAAATTTCAGCTAACTTTTAAGTATACTCTAGATGCTAATGATTATATTGTATGAAGTGTCTCACAATGAGCAGGAGTACATGTAGGTCAACATGACCTAAATGTCATGGTTGAGATACCATGATGAAAAAGATACCATAAAATATAGGATAATCTAATCTTGCATGTAGTTATAACATGAAAGTATTATATTGGCAGGAACTACAACGATTTATTAGCACTTACTTATAATCCGGGGAGTACTGTAGAAAAAATATAGAAACTGTCTAATTAGTAAGCTATTGTTAATTTCCTTTTGTGACTATCTGCGATGCCACCATCCTAAATTGACCACAGATACTTCTTATCAATCACATGGTTTTTATCGAGACAGTTTCACATTGGTTGACCTTTAGGCATAAACAACTTACCGTAGATACTCGCCTAATAGTCGATCCTACTATAAGTCGGGGTCCCTTTTCAGCTCCAAATTCTAAGGATTTAGTCTTGACCCTCGTATAAGTCGGACAAAATTTGGGCATTTTTTTTTCAGCTGACAGTAACTGAACGCCGGTAAAACCAATGCAAATCCAGGAATAATATTCATTTCTGCATTAATGTTTGTTTGGTTTGAATTTAGTTGATGCTCATCATGATAATTTATATTGCTGTTAATAATAAAGATGTATTCATTTCTCTTGTTTTGTTCACTGTTCAAATGTTAGATTAGCCATGTGTTGTTTACGTAATGCATCAATGATTTTGTAGGGTATGACTAACAACCTATTGTTTGAGAAAAGCGAGTATAAACCAATATGAACCTGAAAAATTTAAAGTCAATCAACACTTGATGAAAATATTTTTCACAGCATACATAACTCGGTGTTAAATGAGCATGTACACTTCATAATTCTTATTATATTGTGATGATTAAAGGATTAAAAAAATTAAGTGAAGCTAATCAATATATTAAAATAACTAACTCCAACTCATTAGTGTCATCTGTTTACCTATCATTGATAGGTTTCACACCTTTAGTGAATACAACTCTTTGTCTCTTAATTGGGGTTATCAATGGATTATATTGGCTTGTCAATCAATTTTGTAATTTGTGTTTACCTGAGACACTATAATGAATAATATTTTGATTTTGGGAATGAATCTTAAAATTATTTTTTGATTATTATATGATTTATAAGCATTGAATTGATATCATGATATCACAATAATGACACAATAACTCCGCTGAAAACATCCTTTCACATATTTGGTACATTGTTATCTCCTTTTCATTTTTGGTTCTTGGCTCTTCTTTTGGGTTTATAGGAAAACCATGTGACCATGAAAATCAATACACAAACCGGAAACAGTAGAATTTCAACACGAATTTGCAGAAAATGTTTACCAAAGAACAAATAAAACACAAAGAAAGTATTGAAGTCATTTATTTTCAACAAAAACTTTTTATTTATTGATTTATGTAGGTTTGGCAATCAAAAACGTAGTTTTGACCAGGAAATTCACTCCTGACCACTTTTCTCAAGCTTGGATTTTTCCTCTGGTCGCTAGATCTCGTCTATTAGTCGGCCCCCCTCTCTGGATTATGAATTTTACTCCCAATTTTCCGACTAATAAGCGAGTAGGAACGGTATTAAAACAAGTTGACTGATGCATTAAAAATGAAAATCAACCAAGAATTATTTATTCTACAACGTTTTAAAATAGTGAGTGACAGTATTATATTTTTTTATAGGGGTTACAGCACATGGACTTGAGTGTGTAGGTAAAGGTAGTATCTTTGGTTTGCTTGCTTGCTAGCTGAACCATGAAATCATTATTAGCTAAAGTACTACCTTCCTTTTATAGGTGGAGTCAATAGTTAAAGAGAGAACCAATCAAAAATAGGGACAGTGTATAAACATTGAGAAACCTTTATTTACAAGTCAGTTTAAAAATAGGTTTTCATTCTAAATTTAAAATCTTGTAACAATTATAAGCTAAATCACAAGCATGTTTTAGGTGTGTTTGATTTGTCAATATCATTTCAATCAATTAACTCTGTTCATTTATAATTAGATTATTTACATGTGTAATTTTATACTGTAAGCATTAGTTTAATATGATTTAATCGATTTATTCAACAACAAAAACACTTTTCATATACTTATAATATATGTTTATTGTCGCCCGCACAATGCGTTGAGGGGGACATAGGAATACTGTGCATCTGTCCGTCCGTCTTGTCTGTTTGTCTGTCCATCTGTCCGTTTGTCCGTCCGTCCGGTCTTGTTAGCACTCTCACATGTACAATTCTTGCCAGATTTTTATAAACTTATATCATAGGTTTATATCAGCAATGTCTCGGACGAGTTCAAAAATCAGCGCAGATCAATAGTTTTTATGCCCCACCTAGGGGCATTATGTTTTTCGTTCTGTGCGTCCATTCGTCCGTCCGTCCGTCTGTCCCACTTCAGGTTAAAGTTTTTGGTCAAGGTAGTTTTTGATGAAGTTGAAGTCCAATCAACTTGAAACTTAGTACACATGTTCTTTATGATACGATCTTTCTAATTTTAATGCCAAATTAGGAGTTTTGACCCCAATTTCACGGTCCACTGAACATAGAAAATGATAGTGCGAGTGGGCAGGTTAAAGTTTTTGGTTAAGGTAGTTTTTGATGAAGTTGAAGTCCAATCAACTTGAAACTTAGTACACATGTTCCCTATGATATGATCTTTCTAATTTTAATGCCAAGTTAGAGTTTTGACCCCAATTTCACGGTCCACTGAACATAGAAAATGATAGTGCGGGTGGGTCATCCCTGTACTATGGACACATTCTTGTTTAAAGAGTTATGCCCTCGGAAATATTAATAATATGGAAAATTGCATTGTTAGTGCTCTCATGTGTACAATTCTTGCCAGATTTTTATGAAACTTATATTGTAGGTTTATATCAGCGATGTCTCGGACAAGTTTGAAAATAATAGCTGATCAATTATTTTTAAAAGAATTATGCCCCTTAGAAATATCTATTATATGGAAATTTGCATTGTAAGTGCTCTCACATGTACAATTTTTGTCAGATTTTTACCAAATTCACATCAATAGCTAATATCAGCAATGTAACAGACAATTTCGAAGAAAAAAATGCAGATCAAATATTTTTAATGAGTTATGCCCCTTGGAAATATCAAATATACCAGAAATTGCTCTTAAGCCTTCAACTCTCTAAGATGATTAAAAAAAAATTTAAAAATAAAAAAAAATTTTTTTTTAGTTATTGACCTTTAACAAATAAAATATGTGTAACGTGGGGGACATTGAAATTCTGTTCTTTTATATATATAATAAGGATATCATTATCTTAGAATTTGTTATAAATGAACAGACATAATTGATTGAAATGAAAAATTGACAATTCAAACAGACCTAAAACATGCTTGACACTAGATTTTAAATTTAGATTGAAAAAGTATTTTTAAACTGACTTTTAAAACTGGTTTCACTCTGTTAATATACTGTCAGTACTTTTGATTGGTTCTCTGCTATTGACTCATATACTGTCAGTACTTTTGATTGGTTCTCTGCTATTGACTCTGCCCAAAGGAAGGTAGTAACTTAGCAACTTATGATTTCATGGTTCAGCTAGCAAGCAAGCAAACCAAATATACTACCTTTACCTACACACTCAAGTCCATGTGCTGTAACTTACAAAGTATTATACCTGTCATGGTGTGTTATTTGGCTTATATTTGTGTTAGTGTTATTTTGGATAAAAAATATGTTTTATTTTAAGAAAGAAAATTTTAAGTTTGTATTTTGTAACATTTTTGATTAATTTTGGTTTAATTGATTTTTACCTATGCTGTGGCATTAATACTTGAAATGTCACAGTTTGCTCAAAGCACTTTGTTTTGAAATATTAATTGTAATTAGCATATGTCATTTTGAAAGTTTAAGATTTTATCAAAACATTATAGGATTAGGCTTTGTTAATTAAAGTCTATTTTTGCTAATGAGAGTAATATTTACATGTCGAGTATTATTGATCTATTTTTGGATTTAGTATAAATAGCGTTCTGAAATTTAGGAAAATCAGTCACCTTTCGGAAACCTTAACTTGCACTGCTAAAGTCTATTATACTGGATCTGTAAGACTGTTGATCAGTCTACCAGTTGACTTTGTAGTGTTTAGACAAAAATGTATTTTTGACTCGCCTTTTATTTTTGAGAAAACTTTAGAAAACAGTCAGTGTTTCGGAAGCGTAACCTCTCACTACTCACGTCATGATACTGGACCTATAAGACTGTCTACCAGTCTACCAGTTGACGGTTTAGTGTTGAGACAAAATTTATTTCTGACTCATAATTTAACTTTGGAAAATACTTTTGAGAATCTTTTATTTTTGAGACTTTTACATTTTGATTTTGAGATTAAGTTCATTTTATGATTTAGTAGTTTTGGCATTTATTTTACATTTTACATTGTAAGGGGAAATAGTTTTACTTTGGAGTTGATATTTAGATTTGATACTTTGTACTTTAATTATTATTAAGTCTCCCAAACGAAGTTTGGGAAGACTTAATGTTTTTGCTCAGTTCTTATTATTATTATTATTCTTCTTCTTCTTCTTCTTCTTCTTCTTCCGCCGCTTTTAAATTTGAACTTGTCCGCACCCGTTCTCCAAAACCGCTTGTCAGATTAACTTAAGGTTTCACAATATGTTAGACTAACATGTCTAGTGGTGCAATCAGGGTTTTGTTTGTGCAATGGGGTTTATAAAGGGGTACTTTGAGGGGCAAAAAGAAAAGAGGGTTTTACTATAGAACCCTATGGGATTTTATTTTTTTAA